TCGACAGTAACAGAGGTCACGGGCTTGTCGCTGGATTCGGCCTTTGTCTGAAAACTTCAGCGCCCGAGTTGCACACGCGCCACACAGCACAACCGCGAATAACAACCCACTCAGTGGCTTTGAGAACAAATTTCGTAACTTGCCGTGGTTTATATAGCCAGACGAAGAATACTAGTTACCGACACGTTTAGTTATAACTAAGGCCAATTGTCGTAGCTTAACTCCAGTAAATGTTTAAATCGCTGACGTTCAAACAAGCAAATGGGTGATGCATATCTCCGCAGCTCTGAGATAGGTGTAAATTCCCCGTTCCTATGGCAGAGATGGGTCTCTCTGCCGTACAAGCACTGTTGACTTCATTCACACAGGATTTAAAGTTGACTCTTTTAAGGTCAATTGCAATTCAGGAATTACGTGGTTATCGGTGCATTGTATAATTGGCAGATGAAAAAGAAAGTTATTATCGTGACTTCATTAGTGAACTAGAACAATCTACGTGTATTAGATAACCATGATACATATACTTTTGTTTCCAACAATGTTAACACAGACACCCTGCTATATCCTACACATGCTGTCGAGGTGAGTGCTGTTTGCGAGCACCTATTAAAGGTTCTCACGGCACGTGAGAGTTTGATTTGATTTTACGATGCCGATCAGCCAGTTTCTCGGCTATTTTACCAGGGAGATCCATGGTGCGTGATGTGGCCAGCACCTGTTTCCCCAGTACTGACTGTTTGCTCACTCTATCAGGTACTCAATTAAGGCTGATTCGACCTCGGGGAGGCCCGAAACTAGTCCAGATAAACATCACTGATTTGAGCCGTGAACAGAATCAACCTCAGGTGGTCACTACACGGTCGCTCCCCCCATTTAAAACCCCAGACACAAATACATACACACGCTGCATATTGAAAATGATTCAGATTACTAATAAATAAGGCATTTAGAACTTACCTTCTTCTTTGCATGACCAGGCAATGCTCCAGAGAATATTTTAACCCAAAGCAGTAGAGTATTGACAAGACATGAACATACGCTATGTCATTTCTCCGCTATTGATCTATGAGATGTTTTTTTTCCATAACGAGATGATTTTATAGGTCAGCAAAGACATAATGCAAAGATACATGTATCCCACCATGTTAAGGTGTGGTAAAAAAATAAACCCATGACCGATATCACATGGGAAAAGTCTTCATTCAGCAATGGATTGCCAAAAAATCTATTGTTTTATTTACGAGGCCAAGATCATAAAATACCATCAATGCATATTTTTTTTCCAATGCATAATAACGGACAAAAGTAGAGAGAGGATTAGGAAGGCTTATGCCAAAATGTACACAAGCACACTGAAATAATTCCCATGTGCACTGGGGAGCATTCATTCAAGCCTGACAAACAACAATGCCAAGAGCCACGAACTACCCCATGCGTAGCTCAGAAGGCCAGCTCCCTGTATTTACTAGCTCCCTATTCATAACGAGTTAAATGATGACGTCACCCTGCTGCTGCTCTATTTAAGACCGAGAGCAAGTGGCGAGGGCTTTACCATTCTGACGAATTGCCCGATGATGCTGGATGTATTTACCAGCGAAACGTCGTACTCAAACTGTAAATGTGGATTCACTCTTCAACACACCGGTGGGCTAAAGTAGTGAATTATTTGTCTTTTGTCAACGTGATACTTTATTTTGCTGATTGGCCGTCTTGGGTGGTGGAGGGTTACGACACATTTATAAATAACGCGATCTAACCCAAAAACCTTTATTATGAATAATAATGGTCGTGAAAGCCTAAGTGTTAAACTGACTAGCTCCCTGTTTACTCCCTGCATCTTGGTTTACTTTCGACTCCCTAATGAACAGAAATTTCCCAGGTTTTCTGCTTAATGTACATATGGTGGTCAATAAGACAGTAAAAATGGATATGAATTACATTAATAAGTAATGTATGTATGTTGTTGAACTTTTGTCGCACCTTACGTAGCCAACTGATAATCAGAGGTGTGGGGGGGAAAACACTAACTTACAATTTTGATTTAAATCTTTCATGACTGCAGGGATTCATATTCTTGGTTCTTTCGGTGAAGTCACGTAGAAGGGAAACAATAAAATAATAAAAATATAAAACAGTAAAATTCTCACGACGTTTCGACTGCAACACAAGCAATCATCATCAGGTGTGAAAACCACAACAAGAAAATTTGAAAAAAGTGGCGGTTATTTTTAACGTTAGCAGCACGGAGAGAGATTTAACAGTTTGTTCAGATGGACGAGTCCATCTATGTTCGGAAAAGAGGAGGGGGGAGACGAAAAATAATGGATGCGGTCTGAAAGCCACCTTAAGCGTGATCAATCAATTAAGACCCGAAATGGTTTATCAAATCCTTCCAATGATTGCTAAACCAGAATCCATCTTCTCGGTTGAAATTGTCTCTGTGTTTGGATATTCGGGTCTTAATTGATTGATCACGCTTAAGGTGGCTTTCAGACCGCATCCATTATTTTTCGTCTCCCCCCTCCTCTTTTCCGAACATAGATGGACTCGTCCATCTGAACAAACTGTCAAATCGCTCTCCGTGGTGCTAACGTAAAAAATAAACGCCACCTTTTTCAAATTTTCTTGTTGTGGTTTTCACACTTTATGATGATTGCTTGTGTTGCAGTCGAAACGTCGTGAGAATTTTATTGTTTTATATTTTTATTATTTTATCGTTTCCCTTCTACGTGACTTTACCGAAAGAACCAAGAATACTAACTTACAAGTTATTTAGGTATATTTTAATTCCTGCATTATTTGCTGATAACCTAATGTAATACATAAATAATGCTATATTTTATATTACGTACAAGTTTCTGTAGTCTCTTCCAAAAAACCAGGCCGTAATAAAACTGGCCAAAATCTCTCAAACTTCCTCTCATAGAACCTCTGTTGGCAGTAGAGTCTCTCAGGCTTCCTCTCACAGAACCTCTGTTGGCAGTGGTATCTCTGAAGCTTCCTCTCACAGAACCTCTGTTGGCAGTGGTATCTCTGAAGCTTCCTCTCACAGAACCTCTGTTGACAGTGGAGTCTCTCAGGCTTCCTCTCATAGAACCTCTGTTGGCAGTGGTATCTCTCAAGCTTCCTCTTATAGAACCTCTGTTGGCAGTGGTATCTCTCAGGCTTCCTCTCACAGAACCTCTGTTGGCAGTGGAGTCTCTGAAGTTTCCTCTCATAGAACCTCTGTTGGCAGTGGTATCTCTGAAGCTTCCTCTCACAGAACCTCTGTTGGCAGTAGAGTCTCTCAGGCTTCCTCTCATAGAACCTCTGTTGGCAGTAGAGTCTCTCAGGCTTCCTCTCATAGAACCTCTGTTGGCAGTAGAGTCTCTCAGGCTTCCTCTCACAGAACCTCTGTTGCCAGTGGTATCTCTGAAGCTTCCTCTCATAGAACCTCTGTTGGCAGTAGAGTCTCTCAAGCTTCCTCTCACAGAACCTCTGTTGGCAGTGGTATCTCTCAAGCTTCCTCTCATAGAACCTCTGTTGGCAGTAGAGTCTCTCAGGCTTCCTCTCATAGAACCTCTGTTGGCAGTAGAGTCTCTCAGGCTTCCTCTCACAGAACCTCTGTTGCCAGTGGTATCTCTGAAGCTTCCTCTTATAGAACCTCTGTTGGCAGTGGTATCTCTGAAGCTTCCTCTCATAGAACCTCTGTTGGCAGTAGAGTCTCTCAGGCTTCCTCTCACAGAACCTCTGTTGCCAGTGGTATCTCTGAAGCTTCCTCTCACAGAACCTCTGTTGGCAGTGGTATCTCTGAAGCTTCCTCTCACAGAACCTCTGTTGGCAGTGGTATCTCTCAGGCTTCCTCTTATAGAACCTCTGTTGGCAGTGGTATCTCTGAAGCTTCCTCTCATAGAACCTCTGTTGACAGTGGTATCTCTGAAGCTTCCTCTCACAGAACCTCTGTTGGCAGTGGAGTGAGCAAGAACGTTCATGGCTGGACCTTTACTTGCACAAAGCGACTTTCAGTCTGCAAGTAAACTCCTGCAGAACTGACTTATCGTGTACAAATTCGGTACCATGACAACCAGAATGAACACGCACTGTGAGACAGATTGGTTGTTCTATAGGCGCACTGAGATCCTTTGATGAATTGCACCTTTTTGATTTAAAGCTTTTGTGACTGCAGGGATTCATATTCTTGGTTCTTTCGCTAAAGTCACGTAGAAGGGAAACAATAAAATAATAAAAATATTGTTTTATAATAAAAAATATTTTTATATTTTTATTATTTTATTGTTTCCCTTCTACGTGACTTTACCGAAAGAACCAAAAATATGAATTGCACCTTATAAATGTCAATTATTACGTATCAGAATACACGGAGTTAACCAACTTCATACACTTAAGCCACACTGCCATAACGTTAAGGCAGGTAGCAGATCCTCTTTTTCTTAATTAACTATTGTACTAAGTTTCTATTTGAGTTTTTCTGGCATAGGACAGGTTTCTTGCAGGTCATATAATATTTTCACAGGTATAATTAGGAGTTATTGCATTTACAGCTTGAAGTACTGCAGCCAGTTGAAGTCTTTGCATACTTAAAAAAAATCTAACTCAGAAAGGGGTTTTACTGGCCCTTATACGTTTAAAGAAATTGATCGTTTTTTCTGTGATGACAGCTTTAGAACCCAGGGTGTCAGAGGCAATAGCTGTCAGAATGACAGGCCTCCTTAGGCAAGGCTAAATCTCTTTCCGTTTCCACACTTAATCCACTATTAAGGGCCTTCAGTTCTGATGGGCAGGTTATCTGCCAACAATTTCACCCATACTGTGTTTTACCTTCATTTGAATTCCCTTACACTATGCGTTTACTGTTAAATAAATGCTGAAGCAGCTGCTGGGAACAAAAAGTTGTGTTGTTTCAGTCGCTTTCAAGGGGCCGTGTTGTTTACAAATCATCCGCAACCAGGGCACCAGTGTGGATTCATGTTCTCTGACAAATCACACAGCCACACGTGGAGTCACATTTTGTGATGACTTAATTTATTGTGGCCCAAAAAATTACAAACAAATAATAATAACAATAATACCACCAAATCCGAGAGACTGATTTACACTAAACAAGAGAAATGTTTTAAAAGATGGTGATGACCTCCTTAAAATGTCATTATTACAGTTTAAATAAAGCCTCATTTTCAAATACAAAAACAAAATTAAATAAGAAACAGAAACATTTAATTTATTACATCATATTATACCATTGAATGCTTTTAAGGCTACATGGAGCCAACTTCAACACCCCCTCTGTTAAAACTATACCCCCAGCAGTCAATTAGAAAGCTATTTTGGCATTTAATGCAAATGGATTTCACTTAAAAATCTGGCGGATTTATCTTTTTTATTCTACACACGACGACATACAAAAAAGCTATATTAACTTCTGCAATATACCGTAGATTACAAAATGTAAATATTTTCACTGGTTTTTTTTCATTTTTTGGTAGCAGAATATAAGGTGTGGTTTAAACGGAGAGCTAAAAAGCATGGTTTGTTTTAATTGTGTTTTCGTCTTACTTTACAAATCCCAAACATTTTTTTTCCTGTGTATTTTCTTCGCTAGAAAAGAAAAAAAAACATCATCACCACGTTATTATTTTTTTTTTTACAAATTATCTCGTTAAAGCCCTAGGTAACCCAGGCTGGAATTTTTTTATTTTTATTTTATTTGCCACAACTTACAAGTACATTTGTTCAGCCACATACAGCTCCAACAAACAAGTGCTAAGATTGCAAAAGTTGCAAAAACAGAAAAACGAAAACCCCAACAGCAAAGGAGGAGATACTGAATGCGAGGTTCTACCCTCTTGGCAGCCAGGTATGTATATATATGATGCACGCACAATTTGTACACTGCCATTTTTTCAATTTATCTCCGGCCAACTGAAAACCACATTGATATCTTAACGTTTGCCTTGGCAGTGGATTCCCAGTTCTCCATTTCAAAGTACATTTTTTTCTGTTTTTACATTATTTTTTTTTCATTTCTTAAATAGCAATCCGTGCATTACACACATTTATATAGCAGATAAAAAAAAGACAGGCAGACAGGCACCTTATAGAAAACAAAAACCATAGCGATGAAACGTGTGGGAGAGTCATTTACTGAAGCCCCTGCCAGACCCCCCCCCCCTCTCACCCCCAGTTCAGTTAATGAGGCTAACACACAGAATTAAATCCCCCGTGCGTCTTCTTCCACACATCCTAGCCTGGTAAAGTGTCTGATAAATGCAACGATATCCGCATTCGGGTCTGTGCCGACCGGGGTCACCGTGGGATCAAAAAAAAGAAAGCAGGGTGCTGCCCCCCTCCCTTCCAACTGGGTGCACCCAGTGCACCCTGCAACTTGGGCAGGGGGGGATAAGCATGAGAAGTGGTCAAGCGTCGCACAAATGCATTCGTCCGGTGCCATCGTCTGTTCAGTCGTTCTCTGTGAATGTACAACGGTGAAATGTTTTTTTTTTTCTCTGGACGCGCCCGACAATGCGGCGTGGATTAGCACAGTCAGCCCCGGCTCCGAGAGGTTACTGCTGCTCGTTTTGGTAAAACTGTGCTGTAGTTATCAACTGTCGGCGCAAGGTTTGTGGTCTGTTTGTCTGTGTTTTTCACATATGTGGGCTGTACATCCGATTACTGATAGCGTCACAAACAGAAGAACAAAAAAAAAGCACCATCCTTTACACGTGTGGCTTTTACACGAACGATTAGCTTTGCTCGCAGCAAGCGGTAACCGTAGAGAACATTTACATGTAGTGATATATCAAAACACAGGTGTTCAGTTAAAGCGTAGAGAGGATAAGGGATAATAATTTCTACAGGGTTTAAAAGAGAACTTGCGTGACGTGACGCAGTACAGTTATGTGTTTCGCCTTCGGGAGAGAAGAAAATCCAGACAGCGTTCCTGTGTCGGCGCGAGAGTCACCCTTCCCACTCTGATCTGCGTACTTTCCTTTTTGAATCATCGTTTTTCAAGTTCCAGCAATCACTGCAAAGCACACAACGCTTCAGTCAGTGTCCCGTCCAGTGGCTTCACTTGACAGGAGCAGCATTGCTCTGGTTTCTTCCCGCCACCCAAGCCATAAACACATCTCTGCAGGGACAGAAACAAAGGGACAATTAGTCTGAACAGTTTCAAATGCCACTTGTAATTTTTGTTGGTGTTCCAAATCAATAGAGCTTTAGACCCTTGTAGGAATCTGACGGTTGTTTGTGGCAAGCATATGTCGCTTTGTAAGAGTGTGGAATGCACAATAAAACACAGCGCTCTCTTCAGCAAAAGAATGGGCCACAGATCAACATCGGCAACACCCACAAATAAGAAACGTGTACATCTCACACATGCGCACACGAGTACACATTCACGTGCGCTCGTAAACACATGGCACAGCTGTTCTCTGCTATGTCTACCCCTCCTGCCGTACGCTTAGGGCAAGACGTGATCAGACTTTGCGCATCTAAACGGTCTATCGACCCACACTTAGAAACAATCTGCTTCTCGAAAGCACCAAATGCTGTTTGTTTCACTCAACGATAAAAAAAAACACCCCACCATGATCTCAGAGGCATGCCACCAAATGGAAATGCAAGAATTCCTAGTCACGCAAAACTTTCCTTAAAACAAATCAAGGAGGTGGCCAAATGAGTATACACCTCATTCTGAAACCTCTTATGAAACAAGCTACAACATGTATCTTCCTCCTTTCTGAAATGCTTAAAAGATCAGTTCTTATTTTGGCTACATTATGCAACACCATCTGAATGTAAAACTCACCCCAGTAATATTTCCATGCTGAAAATAAATCTATGGGATTATGGAAATTAATTCAATGGGGCCCTATAAGAAATGGAGGAAAATGTGTGAGCTTGCAAAGGCTTTTGTTTGCGAGGGTTGATTACTCAATTCCATCTAAATGTAATGTAGGACACACTGCTTTCAAGCTCATGCGTAGTTAATGCGCTGTGAATTTACATACTGGTCCATTCAACTTCTTTTGGATTAGCGCACCTGCATCATTGAACGTCTCAAAAGCTCTGCATAAGGGGTATGATCCAGACTTGGGACAGCTGTGTTCTCCACATAATCCCTAACTTGCATTTTCAGTTGCGTTTAGCTGTAGCTAAGGAAAAACACCTGGATTATAAAAGAGTAATAACTGCGACCGTGATAAATGCACCAAAGAGGCATGTGTTGGAGCTCGAGTGAAATATAGTACCTCTTTGCTGAGCCAATCTCATAACGTCACTCTGTTCCAGCTAATAACCATTGATTTATAGTATACACCAACGATAACATTACAACAGCGTTAGAAGTAAGCCGAGCCTTGGGTAACACCAACAACAGAGAACATGACCTTAAAAACGAAATCCAATTTTTTTTGTACTTGGCCGAAGGAGAAGTCATACTCATCTCTTTTCAGGAGAGGCTAAATAAATCGTAGCAACATTAAGGGGCAGTTGTGTCAACATTTTCAGGATTCAACTGCGGATAATTAAAAATACTGGGATGTCTTCCGAGTGCACATTGGGCCTAATTCTCTCGGTCTCCAAGTGTCTTCATAAATCGTTGTCAAATAGAAATATTTAATCTTGGCATAGGAATGTGGAATGTTTACCACTGGTACAAGGCCACCAGAAAAATGGGCACCACGCAATCCTTGCTCGAGCATGGAGATGCTGAAATTCAGTTAACGAGAGGCTACACAGGCCTCAGTTGATATTATCCACTGACCAAAGTGGCAATCAAAGCGTCGTCAGGCCAATGCTAAATGCGTCTCACTGACAATCTTGCCGGCCACTAGGCCAAGTCACAGAGGTGCTGTTAGCGAGCACCTATAAAGGCCGGCATGGCGCATGAAGGCATTGGGTGGCCAACAGCATTCCCAGCCGCCTTTTGTCTACCCACTGCTGATGTTTACACACCGCACCAGGTACTCATTTGAGGCTGAGTGAACCTAGTGGAGGCCCATGACCCGGTTCAGATATTCGTCACCGATGTTGGCCACGAGCGGGAATCGAATTCGGGCTACCGAGGGTTCGTAGCGCCAACCACTACCCCCTCCCCCGCCGCCACTAGGCCGAGTCACAAGCATGCACAGTGACAACAGGTGGCGGCACGCACACCTGCAGTGGTGGACCACGCACTCGCTGCTGCAGTAGCTGCTGTCCCAGTCGGCGCTGGGAGCCGGCGGGTTGGGGCAGCCGGCGCGGACGCACGACCGGTGCGGGGGCGGCTGTCCCTGCGGGGAAGGCAGGCTGGGCTGAGGCGGCGGAGGGGAGCCCATCATGGGTCGTGAGTCGCCCTGCTGCGGGGAGTACACCTGCGAGGGTGGGCGGGCGGGCGGGCGGGCGGGCGGGGGGGGACAGCGAGCGTAAAGCACCGAGCGCGAGTAGATGCCGCGGGAGACCGCGTTGGCACTGACGCTTGACACGTTTACGCACCGCACACTAGGCCCCCCGCCCCCCCCTGGCTTCGTGCCCTGGGCATGGCATTGTCAGAAGTGTGCTGCCCTTCAAAGGGTATGTTAAACCAGCCATCCCATCCGCTTTTAGGCATTAACAATCCCATGAAGCCCTTTTTTTACGCGAGTTAAGTACTGTGTGTTGGCCAAATCGTGAGTCATATTGTAACCCAGGCACACAACCAAAGGGCGCATGGCCCTGAAGAGAAACCGCACACAGCTGAACTGCAACAATAGAGCGAAAGATTTTGATATGAATGGATGATTGAATTTAACATGGAGTAACTTGGTGCAGGTCTGCGTGCAGACATTGTCCTTGAGAATGGTGGGGGCTCAGGTACATTTTTCACCGGTTTAACGTGCAATGCTTACAGGTGTAACCTCACCAGGATCAAAGCCCTTTGATATTGAATGCAGCTGTATGATGTTTATACAATCGTGAATGTGCTTTGGCTGCAGGTGTATTTTATGACTTTTTAAGGACTCTATTAAAATACCTACTCACAGAATCCTTCCCAAACTCATATTTCTGGATTTGGATTGCTCCAAAAACTCAAGGAAGGACCTCTACAGACTTCAATTCACCGTCAGCAATTTTGTGGCCACTGCAAAATGTCTTTCCATAGCTCACACTCCTCAACGTCGTCTCGAGCACCTGGCTTGCTATAACTCAATAAGTCTAAACAAAATATGAGAATAGGTATTTCCCCTTTTTTCTGGCAACAAAACAGGTGTTAAGATGTTAAAACACCAAACTGAAACCTTTTACAAGGAATCATGTCTGCATTAAACACAATACATGTGGTCAGAATGCAAACAAAAAAACTGATAATATATGCATTGTCTTTGAAACTGATTGGTCCACACCAAAGACAGCTTTCTTTTGAGCCTAGTCTCAAAACGGTGTTAGACCAGAGGATGCCAAAAGGCCATGATTCCTTGTAAAAGGTTTCAGTTTGGTGTTAACATATCAACACCTGTTTGTTGCAAGAAAAAAAAGGGAAAAACCTATTCTCATATTTTGGTACTGTCAAAGGAGGTCCCATGATGAAGTCCTAACAAGTCCCCAATGTGTTCTCATGTACACGTGAGCACTGAGTGGCACTTATCGCCCTCCCCCCGCTCCACTGGCAATCCTCAGCACATGCTGAACATTAATTACTCATTCCTATAACAGGGACCTGTATATATCCACAGGATGATCACAAGCCCAGCCTCCCAACGCAGTGCTTAGAGTTACGACCTTGACTAGATGAGGGTAATTCTGAGTTGATCCTGTGTTGATGAGATTAAGTCATGATCTCATGATTGGAAGCGGGGCTACTTTTACCTGCTCGAGCTGCTCAGCAATGCCCTTGTGCCTGCACACTTTCGACCTGGGCCACTTTTCCCTTCCCCTTGGTCATCCTCGCGGGTTCGGTTACTTCTCTTGGCTCCCATGCTCACACTGCTTTTATTGCTAGGTGCAACAGTCAAGGAGGAGCCCTGTGACTGCTTGCTTACGCCACTGGCGAGACCTACAGAGCCCCTCCAGGAGTATTTTGGTCTACTCTTCCACGTTGGTCAGTTATCTAACAAGAGGTGAGAGGGTCCACGCTGTAACCCAGCTCATCCAACCTTTGGTTACTTGCGAATAGTGGTTTTAATTACAAGCTCAAGTTTGAACAATAGTTACACGAGTGCGTAGAAAGATATGAAAGAGAGCAATTATTTTTTGTTGTTGTTCAATTTTAATTTTTAAAAAAATATATTGCCGGGGAAAATCTAATGTAGGACTAATGCTATTAACAAGTACAAGTTTTTAATTACTAAAGAAGTACCGGTACTCAATATAGCAACATGGCTTCTGAGGCAGAGTGTGTTTGCGTAATCGAGCAAAATTGATTTCTCCATTAGCTCCTTCCACGCTGTTGTCAATAGCTGCACATGCAGCCGTGAATATTTATCGGAGAGCGATTTTACAAGTGCAACGAAACAAAAGAATAATATAAATGAAGCTGTATCAACTAAATGCCGTTTTACAATCGTTAAACAATGTCGGGTAAAATATAGCTAATTTGTAATCCATTAATAATAGTGAATGTAGCAAAGTGTCGTGAAACGTTTCCAATGAAAGTCCTGCTTACGGGAAAGTTAGAGTGGTTATATCAAGTGTACATATTTGTTCTTGTAACTTAGCATCCTAATATTTCTCCTTTTTTAACACAATGCATACCACAAATAATATTCACTCAGCCTGTCATACTAATGCAACTGTCGTGGTTAGCAGCGCCTTAAGCAGAACATAAGTATACTTCGAAGGAAGTTGGTTCATTGTAAATGTATCCACCAAAGCATGTTTTGAGCTACGGTTTAATGCTGACATCGCTAAACAAGAGGGTAATTACACAACACATTATTGGTAAACATATTGAACTGCAAAATAAACAACTGTGATTTTTTAAATCTGTTCTCCACCCCATGCCTTTACAGTATTAGTCCTTACTCTTTGGTTCTATTGGGTAAAGTCACGTAGGTGAAAATTTTAAAAAAAATTCACGACGTTTCGGCCACAACACAAGCGTTTCTTGAAGCTAAATTATCCCCCCCCATTTCAACGTATGTACGCTGAAACATTGAACCTCTTTCGCACCGTACGTAGCCAACCGCGCTAATCGGAGGTGCAGAAAGCACTAAGAAGTTCACCGCTTACTGTCGCACTGCGCAAGGAGTTTCAACAGCGGCACAAAAACACTACACACGTCCCAAATCTCAGAGAGAATAAGCGGGCCTGAAGGCCGAAATGAATGCAACGGGGTGGGGGGGGGGGGTGACCGTCTGACCGTCTGATATCATACGATACATTTATAGATTTATGCGCACCGCATCTACTGTATACGTAATTGGCGAGTGTGCGTGCACGCGCATGCACGGCTGTGCACTAACACACAGAAACTTGGCCTGTGGGAACTTTGTTGAGGCAGAACTATTCATGCATAGCTAAGCACCATCTGGTCCTTTCTCTCTCTGGGCCCATCTGCCCACCCCAGCTGGCCCCCACGGAAAAAAAAGAGGAAAGAAAGAAAATAATCATAATAAAAAAACAGAGCCGACAGCTGCCACTAAACAAAGGAGCAAACAAAATAAAAGCGGGATTAGGCAGGGAGGGGGGGGGGCACATAGGAAGGTAACAGAGAAGAGGGTTCAGTCTATCATTTAACAGCGAAAAATAGCGAGGCCCTTTGTGCTGCTGGGCCCTATTCAGATTACGGGACCTGATTGAACGTACATTATTTTTTATCTGAATTGAGGACTTGAAGTAAAAAGGGTGGGATGGGAGTTTCTCTCCCCCCCCTCCCCATCTCTTTCTGTCTCTCCGTAAGAGGGGGGGGTGCTTCCTAATGGAAAAGTCCACTGCAATTTAGATTTTTATGCAATTTGCCAATTTAATTGCAAAGATGGGATGATGGCATTGGGATAATGCATCGGGCCTTGCCAAGCCGATGTAAATACACGGCGAGAAGAGGCGTTAATTTAAAAAGCGCACATTGCAGAATTATTCCTGCAGCCGAGGTGCCTCGTTTGGGGCGTTGTCACGGGACTAGGCCAATTCATACACAGGCCCTTATTGTTGCATCTTGATCTTTAGAAAAGAGTCCTATTGCGTTTTACCACTGCTCTATCAGATCCTGGAGGAATTCAAAATCCCTGTGGGGTATTATAGGATTTCTTTGAATACATTAACGACATGTTTTCATGTAAAGGATCAATAGGATTAGTTGAATAAAACATCAATAAGTATTGTTTTTAATTGGACCGAATACAAAAAAAAACAAACTAGTTATTTACAAAGTCCAAGGCAATCCCATTATCAGATCAAAACTGCAAGGGCTGAACAAAGTACAAATGTTATAAATGTTTTCTTAGCCTGCATGGTATGTTTACATGTGACATGGGCATAACGATAGCAATGGGTACTCAAAATGTTTAGAGTATTGGATGCAGAATTTATATTGTACATAAACATTATACCTCGTTTCCCTACATAGTGACATCATTGTAAAAAATAAATACTTATTCTCTTATTTCATTGTCATCATCACACAGAGCTGACAGATATCTGGTTATCAAGTCTGTGTGATGGCTGTTCTCCAGTTCTCTTTGTCCTTCATGCATGTCAACACAAGCCCACATGCAGAATGTATTCCAGAGCACAGGGTTATTGTGGCAACACTCATCGTCTGCTTCATACAACTCTCTAACAGTACACACAGCAGCATTCACAAAATATAGCCAGGGCATGGTTCCAGCCTGAATGGCAAAAATTTAATTTAATGCAACTGACACTGCACTCTATCAGAAACATATGTTTCGTTGTTTTTTTACACCGAAACTGTTCTAGTCCGTATGCGTTGGATCATTTACATAAATAACTGATAAAAGCGTGATGTTATTTTAGTGGCAGGAGAGTCTAGTGCTCACAACATTGAATCTTAAAAGTTTTATTTGCGGGCATTGGTGTGATGTCACAACTTCACGGATCTCCAATTTCTTTTGTACATTTACCAAAGCAGTGCCATCTCCCGCAAAGTGGATGTGACCAGAGTGGTAGAACTTGAAGCCCAAAAATTCCACATTTGTAAAAAAAAAGGCAAATTCACTTGTTTTGGAATTAAACAGTCCTCAGCAAATAAGTCACCAGGTCTCATTTTGCAGACACGAAGTTAATGATACTGATTTAATAATATTACACTGGTAATGGAATTTTATATTGTACAGATACAATAATTTCATAAGCTTACAGCTCGTGTGTTTATTAATGTTTTGTAAATTCAACAATGAAGGTTTTATGTTGCTTTCTTGGCCATGACAACAGCAGC